CCTCAAGAAATGTTGATGAAAGCGCAACCTATAGCGAATCCTTTAAGAGTTTATGAATATAATGCTTTTTTTGATAAATCTTTTACGAGTGATATTTGAAAGTCATAAAACTTTTCATATATCGTTTGCAGAGGGTTTATGAAAGCGTTCAGAAAGATTTTCTAAAAGGTGAAAAATGGTGTTTTATACTTAGCACTTTTATAAACTCTTCAAAAATTTATTACTCTACGCTTATTTTTACAGTGCAATTATACCCTTTTCAAGGCAAAAGAACACTTCGTATAACTATAACTTGTGAGAATGTAGTCAGGTATCTCCTAATAAAATCTCAGCAATCTCATCGAAAATATTTTACGTATAAAATGACTTTATACCTTTCTAGAGTGAATTCACTTTAAGGCAGCCTCTAGGCGTATTTTTTTCAAAACTGAACACCCTCTGAATAATTGATTGTGCTATATTAGGCTCATTTGTGCTGATGTGTGCGGGCCAAATCGAGACCGTAATTCATACCATCAGCTGACACTCTGATAGACGTGATGAGGCTTCTCCATTATGGTAATCTTAATTTTTTAACCGTGGTTTCTAAATGACAGCGGTTCATTACAATAAAAATTTTCTCCTTTCCTATACACTATACAGTTTCTTAATTTCTAGACAAATACAGTCGAATCATGCTACTAACGCAGGAAAAACGCGTGATTCTTGTCACTGGTGCTAATCGAGGTATTGGTTTTCTGGTCGTCAAGAAGCTCGCAAATGAATCATCAACCAACAATATCATTCTACTTGGCACTCGTGATATTGTTCGAGGCCAAGATGCACTTGCTCAGTTAAGTTCACCATCGAATGTTCACCTTCTTCAATTAGATACATCATCAAGGGAAAGTATCGTTCATGCCATGGAAGAAATTAAAGAAAACTATTGTGACGGACTTGACGTTATCATAAATAATGCTGCCATTTGCATGCCAGATATAACCGTCCAGGCAGCGCGAGCAACATTCGCTACAAACTATTACGGCATTAAACTACTCAATGAACACTCACTCCCACTGTTACGAAAAAATGGTCGTGTGATCAATGTGTCCAGTGAACTGGGCTCCAACATGTTGTATGAGGCGTCGAAAGAGTTGCAAGATAGATTTACATCATCGACGTTGACTGTAGAACAACTCGATTGTCTGGTCGAAGATTTTATCTCGGCTATCGAAACAAACAACCTTGAAAAAAGTGGATATAATTGTAGGTCACTCTCTTTGATCTACAGCGTATCTAAGGCGGCACTTAACAGTCTCACTCGGATCGAAGCGCGTCAATGGTCCAACAGAAAGAATATACTCGTTCTTTCCGTGTGTCCAGGCTTTTGTGCAACGGATATGACTCATCATTCCAGTGATGCGCGTCCTGCAGAGTTCGGCGCCGAATCGATCTTGTATGCAGTTAATATACCTCAAACTCAAGTTGAAAATGGTCGATTCTATCAGGATGGTCAAGAGCTATCACAAATTCGAAGGCTTCCGTCGAAAGTTGAAGGAAAGACAAAAAACAGTGAAAAGAACGACGAATCTACGTACTAAATGCTTTAGCGTATAACTAAAGATATAGTTGAACTTTGAACGTTTCTTGTGTGCATTCTACCTGAAAGAGTATGTATGTGTGTGCAGGTGAGGATGTCAGTGTGAGAAGTGGACTTAATTATTTCAGGAGAATAATGCAGATCTACACTAAGTCCACACCCAACAATTGTCGAAATAATTTCCAATAGTTAAAAAATGATGGTTACGTGAAGTTTTGGAAATTATCACGCGCAAATTCAATTTTTTGTAGAGTTGAGAAATGCAAATTAGGTAGGATTATCAAAATTATCAAGAGTGTAATTCATTTTCGTAAATTTTTTAAAGGAAAGCCGGGTAAAACTAACCAAATTCAGAACTAACATTGGTTACCTTGAACTAGAAAAAATTACGGCTCAGTAGAATGATGAAAAGTAGTATTTTTCAATTGCAGCTAGTTATATGAGCTTATAAAGTCTTTTATCCATTATCGTTTGTGTTGAAATATTCTGTTTGAATTTTCGTAGTTGAATAATCATGTTTTTGGATGCTATGAGATTTTACGAGATTCCATAGCATATCATTGGATTCTATATGAGTTCGAGACTAGGGATCATCCTCGGATCTCCGATGTTGTAATCTAAGCAGATCCAGCAGAAACTCGATGATATTCTGTAGATATCTCGGAGGAATTCGATGCCTGACAATCCTATTAAATCCGAATGACAAATACGGTAGTCTAATGTCATTAGTTTTTTATCGGATTCTGGTGGTAGGAATTTCCAACACTAGGGTTCTATCAGAGTTTGGCACTATGGATCCGAATACCGTCCCGTTTCTCTGTTTCTGACGATATT